TGATGCATTGGACCTACATTTTCCATATGAATGAAAAAGTTAGAGGCTTAATTGGTCAATTTCCAAATAACCCTCAACTCTGTCTGGTCATAACTTTCATTCTTGTTGTATCTATTGAGTATGGATGCAGTAACAGCCTGGTTTCAGATATTGAGTAGCACCTATGTATTCACTGGGTGATTTAATTTGGACAGATTTGGGACATATTCTATACTAAATAACTATAATCCCTACCTAGACTAATATAAAAAAAGGTATAGCTTTTGTAGTTCGGGCTTTACAGACCGTGGATATCGGCCTGGTTAGCTCAGTGGTTAGAGCACCTGACTAGATATACAGGGGTCCCGAGTTCGATTCCCGGTCCAGCCATATGTTTTCTTCGTGCATTTCTCCTATCCTACTACACTTTATAGATTGATCATTTTCTTTTCTTTTACATAGGGACATGCAGAAAGAGTGTGGGATGATTGGGGGAGTTTTGGCCCTTGTTCTCGCACCTGTGGTGGAGGGGTACAATCTCGTCAAAGGAGCTGTATATATCAAAGGTATATAAGAAACATAGTGTAAGATGCCCCCCCCCCCCCCACATTACACATTAACTGTATTTCTTTAATGTCCTTGGTTGGTGAGTCCCCAAATAATTTGCATACAGGTATCTCCCTAAGTGGATGGTAAAAAGTAAATTGCAAGTGAGAATGCGATATACCCATTAGCATGTGTGCATATAATTAACTAGATGCTGTCATGAGACAGTAATACCCGCACTATGGTGTTTGCCTCTAAATATACACTCATTCATATTGGACTTTCCAAGGAAGAAGTCAAAATAATTCTATAATTATCACCGTACATGTATTCGTCAAATTGAACATAAAATTTTCAGATGACCATATCAACTCTGAGCCTCACATATGTATTTTAAAATACTTAATTCATAACCAGTCTGAAATAACAGAATTTAATAAATGATTGAAGTAAATTACTTAATTAGATTCAAATAAATAATTTTCCCATAATTTGGAACTTTTTAAATTTACTTTCTCAACGACATAAAATATTATTTTAGTACAAAGCGTTTTTGATGAATTTATCAAAATGTGCAAACTGATTTTAGTATTTGGTCGGGAAAAAAACCCATTGAAAATACAACCCGTTTAATTTGTCAATGCCTATCTCTCCCCCCCCCCCCCCAACACACACACACACGCTCTCTCTCTCACTCTCACATTTTTTAAAAAACATAGTTTAGTTTATTATGATAGTTTGAAATTTGTTCTTGTACTAAACAGTTTTATTTTCTACATTCACATTGGGTTTGCGTCACCCATTATCATATTTATAGATATCACCTCTCGGCACACCTCGGCCAATTCATACTGGCAACGGAATCAGCAAAGGTTTGTCGAATGAGATTATTTAGCATATGTATGCTGACGATGCAGTGTGGTCAGTTAAAATCATTTGTGTTTTAATTAGATTATATGGATTATATTTCATGAATTCGTTGTCACGACCTATGACATTCGGTAAGTACAAGATTTAGTATAGATTGCATAAAAATAAATAAATGCAAATGGTTAGGTTGAAGTTCAAAAAGGGTCAACATGGTCAAAGATCATCGCATGCCACAGTCGACAAATTTCACATTGTCAAGTTATCTCCCGTTGCAGACATTCAGTATATAACAGACGCAGATCCAGAATTTTTTTTTCAGAAAGGGGGGGGGGGTGTCACACCTCAGTCAAAAAAATCAGCCCAAGATTTCCTGAGATGGAAATAAAAAATAATAATAAAAACAATGATGGTGGAGTCCCTGTTTTCTAAGGGGGAGGATGTCCAAAGTCATTTTTATTCTCTACAGTACATATATAGTCTTATTTAAATAACTGCTAATTCCAGAGGGGGGGGTCTGATCTCCCTAGCCACTGACTCCCTGTACCTGAAATGACAATTGATCTTATGACTCCATAATAGTAGAAAATTTTTTCATTTGACTATTTATACATATTTTGTTTCTTATGTTTATGTATTTTTGTCTGTCCACGGAAACTTTAACCTTGCCCATATTTTTTAAGTGGATTGGGCTATACACATGGCTTCAATATTTCATAGGTAAATTTCTTTTGGCAAAACCTTTTAATGCGTACCACCAATTTTGACCTCTTGATCTCTTGACCTTGGAGTTTGACCCAATTTTACAAGAAAAATACCTTGAACTTGGCGTAAGTTTTGAACAGGTGGTGCTAGGACTTTCATGCTCTTACATGTGTAATCATTGTGAACTTTCAACAGGTATAATTATTTTTGACCTAGACCTTAGAGTTGAATCCAATTTAACTTTAACCTTGGCAATAACTTTTGAACAGGTGAGGAAGTTCTAGGGATTTCTCCCTTTTTTCACATGTGTATTCCTTGTGACAAGACTTTCCCTTTGATAGCAACAATTTAGACCCTTTGACCTTGACCTTGGAGTTTGACTTACATTTGAGAAACTTCAACCTTTGCCAAAAGCTGCCATAACAGTTGCTGTCACAACAAACAAACAAATTACTAAAAAAAAACACAGAATACATGTACATATTCTATATTCAACAGATATACATCTGGTCATATCTCTAGTTCTCCCTTGAATGAGACATGGTGATATAAATTTTAAAAAATAATTATAAGAGTTGAAAAGGTTGTGCATATTGAAATATACTAAGCTCTGCGGATGAATTAGATATACCAGTTTAGCTTTATTTTGCTACCCAAAGCACCTTGATTAACTATTTATAAGCATACTGTTTTCTGAAATGTACTGATTTCTGTTGTCCATCTGTTTATCTGCAAACTTTTCACATTAACTTCTTAAGAACCACTGGGCTAATTTCAACCAATTTACATTTAAATATGCAGGGTACTTTTTAAGCGCCCGGATCGATAGATCCCGGGCGTATATTGTTTTTGTCCTGTCTGTTTGTCTGTTTGTCTGTTAATCTGTTTGTCTGTTTGTCAACTTTAACCTTGGCCATAACTTTTGAACAATAAGGGATAGAGACTTCATATTTGGTAAGCATACTCCACTAATAAAGTCCTTTCAAATGACTTCAAGGTCAATGACCTTGTGACCTTGACTAAGACTTATATGCTAAAAATAGCTTTTTCCACTGTTTGTCATAACTTTTGAACCATAGGAGATAGGGACTTCATATTTGGTATGCATACTCCACTAATAGAGTCCTTTCAAATGACATCAAGGTCAATGATCTTGTGACCTTGACTGTGACCTATATGCTAAAAATAGCTTTTTACACTTTTTGCCATAACTTTTGAACAATCAGAGATAAGGACTTCATATTTGGTATGCGTACTCCACCGATTAAGTTCTATCAAATGACACCATGGTCAATGACTTTGTGACCTTGACTGTGACCTATATTCTAAAAATAGCTTTTTCCACTGTTTGTCATAACTTTTGAACCATAGGAGATAGGGACTTCATATTTGGTATGCATACTCCACCGATAAAGTCCTTTCAAACGACGGCAAGGTCAATGATCTTGTGACCTTGACTGTGACGGATATGCTAAAAATAGCTCTTTACACTTTTTGCCACAACTTTTGAACCATAGGAGATAGGGACTTCATATTTAGTACGCATACTCCACTGATTAAGTTCTTTCGAAATGACACCACGGTCAATGACCTTGTGACCTTGACTGTGATCAATATGCTAAAAGAAGATTTTTTTAACTTTGTTGCCGCCGGGCGCGTAGTGTTTCACAAACACATCTTGTTCCAACATAAATCTTCTTCTCAAGAACAGCAAAGACATTTATTGTCCCCATTTTTGCTAAAGGTAGGGTACATTAAATCTCATTTGTTTGTCAATCTGCCATTTGTCACAATTAATTTAACCTTGGTCATCATGGTCGTATATTTTGAATGAGAAGAGATAGGACTTTTATATTAAACATGTGTATTAGTATTAAATGGGACAATACCATTCTACATACACTATGATTTTCATTACCCGTGATCTTGAAGTTTGACCTAATTTCCTTAAAAAAATTAATTGCTCTGAATTGATCATTTTGAAAGATAAATGAAAGGGCATTCATATTACCTGTGATAAGACCTTCCAAAATGTATCATGACTTTTTGACTCTGTGACCTTGACCTTGAAGTTTAACTTAGTTTTCATTAATGTTGTATTTCCTTTTCATTAAGAAGAGATTTGACTTTCACATTTCAAGTGAACATTACCCATAACAAGAGGCTCCATACATGCTATGATTTTTTACCCCTTGACCTTGATGTTTTAACAAAATTTCAAAAGAGTGAACTCTCCCAAAAGATGATAAGACTACTGTTTAAAACAAAAAAAGAGTTTAGGGAAGACTGGGCTTTTTCCATAAAAAAACGTCATTTTTCAACCCTCATTTGACCCCCCGGGCAAAATCAAAATTCCGAAACCTAACTGCACATCTACATGACCCAACCAACCATCTCCCAAAGATGATTAGGATGCTGAATAAAATGTAAAAGGAGTTCAGGGAAGATTGGGCTTTTTCCATAAAAAACATCATTTTTCGACCCTTATTTGACCCCCCGGGGCAAAATCAAAACTCTGAAACCTAACTGCACATCTGCATGACCCCACCAACCATCTCCCAAAAGATGATTAGGCTGCTGAATAAAATGTAAGAGGAGTACAGGGAAGATGGAGATTTTTGCATAAAAAACGTCATTTTTCGACCCCCATTTGATCCCCCGGGGCAAAATCAAAATTCCAAAACCTTACTGCACATCTACATGACCCCACCAACCATCTTCCAAAAGATGATTAGGCTGCTGAATAAAATGTAAGAGGAGTTCAGGAAAGACTGGGCTTTTTGCATAAAAAACGTCATTTTTCGACCCCCATTTGATCCCCCAGGGCAAAATCAAAATTCCAAAACCTTACTGCACATCTACATGACCCCACCAAACATCTCCCAAAAGCTGGTTAGGCTACTGAGTAAAATGTAAGAGGAGTTCAGGGAAGACGGGGCTTTTTGGACAAAAAACGTCATTTTTCAACCCCCATTTGACCCCCCGGGGCAAAATCGAAATTCCAAAACCTTACTGCACATCTACATGACCCCACCAACCATCTTCCAAAAGATGATTAGGCTGTTGAGTAAAATGTAAGAGGAGTTCAGGGAAGACGGAGCTTTTTGCTTAAAAAACGTCATTTTTCTACCCCAATTTGACCCCCTGGGGCAAAATCAAAATTCCGAAAGCTTACTGCACATCTACATGACCCCACCAACCATCTCCCAAAGATGATAAGGATGCTGAATAAAATGTAAGAGGAGTTCAGGGAAGATGGGGCTTTTTCCATAAAAAACATCATTTTTCGACCCTTATTTGACCCCCCGGGGCAAAATCGAAATTCCAAAACCTTACTGCACATCTACATGACCCCACCAACCATCTCCCGAAAGATGATTAGGCTACTGAGTAAAATGTAAGAGGAGTTCAGGTAAGACGGAGCTTTTTGCTTAAAAAACATCATTTTTCGACCCCCATTTGACCCCCTGGGGCAAACTCAAAATTCCGAAAGCTTACTGCACATCTACATGACCCCACCAAACATCTCCCAAAAGCTGGTTAGGCTACTGAGTAAAATGTAGAAGGAGTTCAGGGAAGACGGGGCTTTTTGGACAAAAAACGTCATTTTTCGACCCCCATTTGACCCCCCGGGGCAAACTCAAAATTCCGAAAACTTACTGCACATCTACTTGACCCCACCAACCATCTCCCAAAAGCTGGTTAGGCTACTGAGTAAAATGTAGAAGGAGTTCAGGGAAGACGGGGCTTTTTGGACAAAAAACGTCATTTTTTGACCCCCATTTGACCCCCCGGGGCAAAATCGAAATTCCAAAACCTTACTGCACATCTACATGACCCCACCAACCATCTCCCAAAAGCTGGTTAGGCTACTGAGTAAAATGTAAGAGGAGTTCAGGGAAGACGGAGCTTTTTGCTTAAAAAACGTCATTTTTCGACCCCCATTTGACCCCCTGGGGCAAAATCAAAATTCCGAAAGCTTATTGCACATCTACATGACCCCACCAACCATCTCCCAAAAGCTGGTTAGGCTACTGAGTAAAATGTAGAAGGAGTTCAGGGAAGATGGGGCTTTTTGGACAAAAAACGTCATTTTTCGACCCCCATTTGACCCCCTGGGGCAAAATCGAAATTCCAAAACCTTACTGCACATCTACATGACCCCACAAACCATCTCCCAAAAGATGATTAAGCTACTGTGTAAAATGTAGGAGGAGTTCAGGGAAGAAAAGTGTGACAGACGGACGGACGGACGGACATGAGTAACAACAATATACCCGAACTTTCTTTAGAAAGTGCGGGTATAATTAGCTTTCACCTGCAGATGAATTTTGTTGTAGAATACACGTATCTATGAAGTTCCCTATTGAACATGAAATAAATTAAGTAATGGTATGAAATATTGCAAAATATGTTCCTATATATGTTGATTTTTATATAGGGAGTGAAGGCGTGTGAATGTATGAATTAAACTGTCTACACAACCATTATGCTATTATAACATTTATAAAATAAGTCAATTATATATCAATTTGTTTTCACATTTATAATCATTTCATGCTCTTTCAAAATGTATTTGGACTTTTACAAATTAAAATTATGATCTGTTTGAGTTAAAACCAGTATATTTAGGTGTTGTTTAATTTACCTGCCGCTGATCAAATGTACTTTTAGGGAAATAGGACTTCAGTTTTAAACTTTTTATTTTTAGTTTTAGAAAAACATTATTTTAAAAAATTAAAGAAATTATCTCAAATGCAGTTTTATTAAGTTTATACAAATTTGGCCATCCAGAATAAGGAAGTATAAGAAATATGAAAAAAGGATTTTAAAAGAAAAAAATTGTATTTTGGAGGAAAGAAAAGAAAATTACAACGTATTTTATCTTTTAAATTGTGCTAAGAGGGGGGGGGGGGGGGGGGTAGGGAATCCAAATTTTACATTGAAATAAATAGGAAAAAATCTTTAAAATTCTTCTCCTCAAGAACCACTATGACTTAAATATTCAAAAAATCATGGCCCCATGGGGGTAGGGTGGGTCACAATAAAGGGATCCAAGATTTTCATTGAAATGTATAGGGAAAATCTTCTCCTCAAGAACCTATGGGTCAGAAAAGCTGAAACTTATGTGGAAGCATCCTCAAGTAGTGTGGATTCTATATTGTTCAAATCATGGCCCCTGGGGTAGGATGGGGCCACAATTGGTATTACAAGGGATTAAATCTGGTGAAGAACAGCATGGCCAAGATTACTTAGGTGAGCATTGTGGCCCATGGACCTCTTGTTAAAATTTCTTATTTGAATTAATGCATTGTTACTAAATTAATTTGTTTCTCTTTATATTAGGTCAAAGTCAGGAAGAAAACAGAGTTGTGGTAGTGCTCGAGAGGAACGTGAATACAAGTCCTGTACTACACAAGTAAGATTTCATGTGAACTTACTCCACATTTGCTCATGCATATGTTTGTTATATACAGAATAAAATACAGTTAGAACAGAACTTCTGAAACTTCCAGATTCACCTTGTTGTAATTTGTTTCTCCAGTTGATAATTCATTACTTTTTATATGACTTCATGACAATTATGTTTGATATTTGAATTCACTGCAGCTTTTGACTTTTTCATATAACTTGATAGGAATAAAATATTTTGAACCTGCTTTGATATATTTCATAAGTTGTATAGACTTTTTGTTTTATTAGGATTGTGATGAGGACAGTATGGACTTCAGAGCTATACAGTGTCAGGATTTTAATAATGTTCCTTTTCTGGGCAAAGTTTACCAATGGAGACCTTACTATGATGGTAATTAAAAAAGATTACAAACTGTTTTAGATACTAAGATAATGATCATTGCCTCTAGAAAAAGGATGATATTCTCAATGTATATTTATACACAACTGCCCCCCCCTCCCCTATGAATACCTACCCCCCTCCCCCAAATCACTCACTCACAAATTTGAATAAAATTTTGACATTCTTGGCACAAATAATTCTAATTGATATTAACAGAAAAAGTTTTGTAGATGAAATGTTGTTTGCCAAACAAAAGACCAAACTTTCTTATCTACCACTGATAATATCATGGTCCTATGAAAAAACCTGCACAGGCAATTTAGAGTAGACAGTTTTCACGAAAGTTTGTTAAAATTTGACATTTATATTAAAAAGTGACCCTCTTGTTTAAATTTTCAAGAGGACTTGAAAGAATATTGGTATTTATTAATGTAATCCATTTGTTTTATTATAGGCCTAGTTAACTGTTAAAATAATATGATTGGATCTTTACTTCTCCACCCTTAATTTTGTAAAAACTTGCTTGGGTTTGACGGAGATTTGATTAAGTATTTTTCTCGTCAGGAGTATTTTCACTTTCATTTTAGTATGAAAATACTGTAAATCACTTTTATTCGCGAGAATTTTATTTTCGCGTAATTACGCGAGACAGTATGCTCGCGAAAATTTCATTCTCGCGTATAATAGAATTCCTTAAGATTATATAGAGCAATGACCACAATTCGTGAAAATTTTGTCTCGCTAATAAAGAGTCAATGACTATCTCGCGAAAATAAGGTGTCACGAAAATTAAGTGATCTACAGTAAGTGAAAACTACTTGAACACATAGTACTTTCCAAAGATAATAGTTTTGCAAGACTGAAAATCTGAAGGGTGAATACACTTGGATATTCCTCTTAGGATTAGTTCAAATACCTTGGACCATGAGCTGATTGAATCAGCTTTTCTGATTGGGATTACTTTTTGAGTGAGAAGGTCAAAGGTTATGACCTGTCATACTGTGGAGAGATACTGAAATTTGTTATTTATAGCACCTGGAACTTTGAAGATTTTAAAAAGAAAGTTGAGGCTAAGAGAGCATCTTATGAATAATTAAATGGTTAAAAAATCTTTTGATGAATAATTGTAGAAAAGTTGGAGAAAGCTAGATTTTACTTAAATCCATGATTTTTAGTCCGTCACAAACTGTCTGAAGTTGTGAATGGATTCCATACTACGTCAGGTCCCTGTACATGATGGCTGTTTTAATTCTGTGAATTTTGCACATTATCATGGTCATACTAAAGCAAAGCAAAAAGATAGTAAGTAGGATTTATATTTATGATTTGCAACCAATAAGTGGAAGAATATGATTTCTGATTGCCCTCTAGTTGTATCCCAGTGAAGACGGTATTAAGTCAATTTGAAGATAATGTCTTTTGCCCTCTCCCCACTCAGGATGAAAAATTTGGGTCAATAGTTAAGTGGGTTTTTTTTCCACAAAATTTTTTAAATCGGTGCAGAATTTTCAAAATCTATTTTCTGGAATGCATAAAAAAGGATTGATTCTTGGAGGTTTTGAGTAAGGCCATTTTTAGCCAGTTGGTACTAAGGGAAAGGGCACACCAGATAGACTTGCTTAAAACTTTTTCATTGTAGGAGAGAAGAGATGCAGTTTACTCTGTTCAGCAGTCAACACCAGTGTGTACCATGAGTGGAGTGATAAAGTGATAGATGGCACTAAGTGTGACAGTCTGTCAGATGATCAGTGTGTGGATGGAGCTTGTCAGGTGAACCAGTCAGACAGAATCTTAGTCATACAGTCAAACTTGTTTATGTCGAGCCTGATGGGGCTAAGAAAAAACTTTTTGATATCTGAGGATTCAAGATATCAAGTGTAAAATACTTAAAGAATATGTGGTTGGGACTTCCACATCACTTCAACATATCCAGGGTATTCCAGATATGGGGGTTTGAGATACCGAAGTTCAACTGTATAATCAAGTAATATAGAATTTGTCAAGCATTCAAATACATGCTTTACACTGTTAAGACCAGTATTGGGGTTAAGTCTACATATTAATAAGTATAAATATAAGTATAAAATAAAAATTATCAAGGATCAGTTGATCAGTTTCTGAACATCTTTCTGAGTAGGCAGCTGGTTGTGACAACGTACTCGGATCTCGAGCGAGACGAGATGTATGTGGTGTGTGTAACGGAGATGGACAGTCGTATAAACTCATCCGAGGATCATTCACTATTCCTCAGCTTTACTCAGGTAGGACTGCTGTTTTTAACTCTACTTAAGGAATGACTTCAATTCTTGGCCAAATTATCGAGTATAATCTGGTTTGGGTCAGTTTACGCTTTATAATCCGCGAAGCGTATTAAAAAAAAAGCGTAAACTGACCCAAACCAGATTATACTCGATAATTTGGCCAAGAATTAAAGTCATTCCTTACAATTTAATTTTAAAATAAATAAAACAACTTTGGATGTAAAATTGTGCTGCTTTTTAGCTCACCTGAGCCTAAGGCTCAAGTGAGCTTTTCTGATCAAAATTTGTCCGTTGTCTATCGGCGTTGTTGTCGTTGTTGTCGTTGTCGTTGTTGTCGTCTTAAACTTTTCACATTTTCATCTTCTTCTCAAGAACCACTGGGCCAAATTCAACCAAACTTGATACAAAGTATCCTTGGGTAAAGGGGATTCAAGATTGTTCAAATGAAGGGCCAGGCCCTTTTCCAAGGGGAGATAATTATGAATTGGAGAAAAATTAATGACATTTTAAAAAAATCTTCTTCTCAAGAACCACTGGGCCAGGAAAGATAAAACTCATGTGGGATCATCCTCAGGTAGTGTAGATTCAAGTTTGTTCAAATCATGACCCCGGGGGTAGGGTGGGGCCAAAATGGCCGATCAAAGTTTTACAAAGGAATATATAGGAAAAATCTTTAAAAATCTTCTTCTCAATAACCACTGGGCCAGGAAAGATTAAACTCATTTGGGATCATCCTCAGGTAGTGTAGATTCAAGTTTGTTCAAATCATGACCCCCGGGGGTAGGGTGGGGCCAAAATGGCCGATCAAAGTTTTATATAGGAATATATAGGAAAAATCTTTAAAAATCTTCTTCTCAAGAACCACTGGGCCAGGAAAGATGAAACTCATGTGGAATCATCCTCAGGTAGTGTAGATTCAAGTTTGTTCAAATCATGACCCCCGGGGGAAGGGTGGGGCCAAAATGGCCGATCAAAGTTTTACATAGGAATATATAGGAAAAATCTTTAAAAATCTTCTTCTCAAGAACCACTGGGCCAGGAAAGATTAAACTCATTTGGGATCATCCTCAGGTAGTGTAGATTCAAGTTTGTTCAAATCATGACCCCCGGGGGTAGGGTGGGGCCAAAATGGCCGATCAAAGTTTTATATAGGAATATATAGGAAAAATCTTTAAAAATCTTCTTCTCAAGAACCACTGGGCCAGGAAAGATGAAACTCATGTGGAATCATCCTCAGGTAGTGTAGATTCAAGTTTGTTCAAATCATGACCCCCGGGGGAAGGGTGGGGCCAAAATGGCCGATCAAAGTTTTACATAGGAATATATAGGAAAAATCTTTAAAAATCTTCTTCTCAAGAACCACTGGGCCAGGAAAGATGAAACTCATGTGGAATCATCCTCAGGTAGTGTAGATTTAAGTTTGTTCAAATCATGACCCCAGGGAAGGGTTGGGCCAAAATGGCTGATCAATGTTTTACAAAGGAATATATAGGAAAAATCTTTAAAAATCTTCTTCTCAAGAACCTTTGGGTCAGGAAAGATGAAACTCATGTGGAATCATCCTCAGGTAGTGTAGATTCAAGTTTGTTCAAATCATGACCCCGGGGGAAGGGTTGGGCCAAAATGGCCGATCAAAGTTTTACAAAGGAATATATAGGAAAAATCTTTAAAAATCTTCTTCTCAAGTACCACTGGGCCAGGAAAGATGAAACTCATGTGGAATCATCCTCAGGTAGTGTAAATTCAAGTTTGTTCAAATCATGACCCCCGGGGGTAGAGTGGGGCCAAAATGGCAGATCAAAGTTTTACATAGGAACATATAGGGAAACCTTTTAAAATCTTCTTTTCAAGTACTTCAAAGCCAGGCTTCGTTATATTTATAGGGAATCATCTTCAGGTAGTGTAGATTCAAGTTTGTTCAAATCATGACCCCCTGGGGGGGATGTAAAATTCAAGCCCCCCCCCCTCCCCAGTTTACTTTCAGTTCTGATCTGATCTGTGTTTTTTCCTAGCCAATTGCTCAGGTGAGCGATGTGGCCCCTGGGCCTCTTGTTATGAGTTCAAATTTACCGCACAATAATACAACCTTAGTAACGGAAGTGATGGGAAGCGAGGGGAGGTAATAACTGATACATAGATCTAGCAGCCATGATATCTGTTTACATGAGGTAAGATCGAGTAACTGTTTGAAGTTAAGGGTATATTTATTAAATCTGGAATTTTCCATGGATTCCAAGGACTGGAAATGAGGGGATTGCATGGATAAGATGATTAAGCTGGTCGTCAAGGGGGTGTGTCCTCATAGCAAACCAGATTATACAAAATAATTTGTGTTCCTTTTTGGAAATCAACCAATGAGAGGCGAGAATAAAAACAAAATTAAATTATATAACAATATAAAACTTGTACAAAAATTGTGTATAAAACGTGTATGAAGAGATGACAGTAAAATTTGTCTAATCAGACATCTATGCAATAATTCATATTTCACTGTGAATTCTGACATTTCAATTCCAGCTAATCGGGTTTGAATATAACCACTAACAGATTTAGTCAATCAGGAAATTTCTTCACATAATATAAAAATAGAGACACTTACCTGTATAATCAATATCTATTTGTAGGTTACAATGAAGTTATCACTTTACCAAAAGGATCAACATCAATTTCACTAAAGGAGATGAAATTTAGTCCAAATTATTTAGGTGAGGTCCACAGATACATATTTAGCATATACATCTGTCAATATATCATGTATTGTTAGCTTAATAACAGATTTCGTTCTATATTACACTATTAACAAGATTTTCTTGAACAAAGAATCAAAATATTTCAGTTTTGAAAAGTAGTGATGAAACAGTCATATTAAGTGGGGAACATTATGATGGCAAACCAGTTCTGATGAATATTGGAGGAACCAGTTTATTGTATACACTGGAGGGATCGGGCCAGAATGTCGTGAAGAAACTTACAGGACAGGGACCCACTAAAGGCAGCATTCAGATCTATGTAAGATTGTGTAGCCCTGGAAAAGGTTGTCATTAATTTAGAAACTTGTTGTGGAATATACAGATTTATTTTTTTCATTTTTTGGACAGGAAAATACCCTTTAGTGAAAGAAACATTAATGTTCAATAATTTCAAATTTGAAAATTTAATTCAACTGCAGATTCGTAAAAGATGAAAACTTGGAGGATGTTTTTATTTAAAACTGCAAATTGCATTTTAAAGCTGAAGGTAGTAAAATATATTTTCTGTAATTTATCAGATTTTGATTATGGAAGTAATTTAGGTTTTAAAACTTGCCTGAATTTGTCACTCTCTATTAAAGGTGATCCTTTTGATTAATAGATGATGGCTAAGGAAGAGAAGAATCCTGGAGTGTGGTATGAGTTATACATCCCTCTGTCTGGAAGAGAGCCTCGATTTGAACCCAGAAGTTTACCCATTAGTTACAGACAAAACCTACACCAGGGGCAGGCAGAATTAAGATCCAGTGGTATTGGAGAATCCACTCAATCCAGCTTTTCTTGGAATTTCGGCGGATGGACGCAATGCTCCACCAAATGTGGAGAAGGTATGAGATTTATGCACTTTAAAAGCAGACTAAAATGTTTTATTTTAACTAAATAAGCAACAATTTTCTTCTTTTATTAATCTGTAGATTAGGTTGATAACTTTTATTCAAATCTAATTGAATAGCTGAAAGTAAGCAATAAAGAATTACTGTCTGACTTTTCTATATGATTTTTAACACATTTACCATGAAAAAGAAAACATCAAAAATGTACATGTATATATATTTTATAAATGCATTTGATATTTTAGGTATCAGGAAAAGGCTGGTGGTGTGCACTAACAGGCAGACGGGGGAGAGAAGTGACCTTGAGAATTGTGACGCTTCTGGTCGACCTGCCGACACAGAGAAATGTATGGGAGACAACTGTGATGAAACTTCTCAGGATGAAAAAACTGTGTAGGTCAATAAATGACGATTATCTCTCTTTGTATACACATTTTTCTTCTTAAAACTGAATAATTTTTTAGGACACTAAGAAAAAATTTGGAAAAAAAAACTTAGTTGGCTACATTGATCTTTTGATCCCAATGTCTCTTGTTAGGGCTTGGGAATAATCTGCTTTATCATTATACATTTATTAAAATCACATTAAAATGGACAATAATTTGTACTTTTCTCTATAAAATGTGTGCAATAGGCGATAACATGTAACCCTTGTATTGTCCAATTTACAGATTTCTCTTTTACTAATATTTTATTTTAGGGAATGGAAGCTGGGTGACTGGGGGCCTTGCTCTTCCTCTTGTGATATTGGGGACCAGAAACAGTCTGTACAGTGTGTCTCAGGGGATCCCAGGGGAGAGTCACTGACGGTAGAAGATGCCCAGTGTATTCAGCTGTACGGCCAGAAGCCTGAGTACAGGAGGTCATGTAATGAAAACGTTCCTTGTCCATACTGGACTGCAATGGAATGGTCATCTGTAAGTGACAACTTCATGTTTTTCTTTAATCATTATTATTACAGACTTTTAGTATAGTTCATCAGTTACAATTAACTTTATAATTCATTAAAAAAAGTTTGCATTTTATTCTTAAACTTGCTCAGACATTTATTGGGTGATGATATGTGTAAAATAAATAAAATAAGTCAGGTATTGATCACAAAGAAAGGTAATTGTTTTCAAAGAATGAGTTCAGTTTTCAACATGTGGTTGACTCAGATGAGCATTATTTCCAAAGACCCATTTGTTTTCTTTAGTCATGATAGTCAAATATGTAAGGAAAGATTTTGGAAAAGTAATTCGTAAATTTACAAAACATACATTTTTTAAGTAAAATTGTTTCTATAGATCTGTTATTTATATCTATGCTGTTTCTCCGCAGTGTAACAAGGCCTGTGGTATGGGAGAACAGACTCGCAGTGTGCTGTGTATCAGTATAGACAACAGGAGGCTAGCAGAGAGTGCCTGTGATCCTACAAAGAAGCCAACTCCCACCCGACCTTGTATGGTCAAGCAGTGCCCTGTAAGATTAACATCCACTGATTGTCTGAATTTTATCATAAAAAATACTGAAGATGGGTTATTCTCACCCTATCTTATCGAAACTATTTTTCTCCGTCTTCAAGTTATGCTATAAGAGAAATAACTGTTTCATTACATTTGTGCCATATGTAATACACTTTTAAAATGACAATGAAGGTGAAAGAGGAGAGTAAAAATTGCTGCCAAAATTCCCTTGTATACAGTGCATTAAAGAGAGGGAATAGCCTAACTGTATTTTTTTATACATGATTTCACAAAGTCTTAATAATTAGAAAAAGGAAGGACATTTAAGATTGATGATTTTTAATTATACTGACTGTGTCATTTCTGAAACATGCTGTTTAAACTCCCTTTACTCCTAGGAAGGTCCCTTAGAAAACTGTAGAAATTCGCTGTTTGGCTGTTGTCCCGATGGTAGGACACCTGCAAGAGGCCTGAATTTGGAGGGATGTGAAGGGACTTGCAAAGGAACAAGGTATGGTTGCTGTCCAGACCAGAGAACCACAGCAAGAGGTCCAAATGGAGAAGGATGTGGATCTGACTGTTCAAGATCCAGATATGGATGTTGTCCAAACAGTCAGAATCCTGCTAGGGGACCCCATGGAGAGGGTTGTTCTACTCCTTGTTCTAGGTATAGATATGGGTGTTGTCCAGATAACGTAACTGTAGCTAGGGGTCCTAATGGTGAGGGCTGTCCCACTTCATGTTCTGACAGTCAGTATGGATGCTGTCCAGATGGGAAAACTGAGAAGAGAGGACCTAATAATGAAGGATGCTCCAATGATTGTTCGAGATATCCATACGGATGCTGTTCTGATAATATTACTCCAGCTAGAGGTCCGAATGGTGAAGGATG